ACTATGTTGAGAAGTGACAATAAGTATCTCTGTAGATAATAAACATTTTTATAGAGTAACAAAATTATATGAAAATAATCATGACAGGAATTAAAAATAGTTTGCATGGTTCTCCTTTGCTATTGCCATTCCTATTTATGAACAAAACTGAGGACAAAAGTAGGAGAGAGAGAGAGAGAGAGAGAGAGGAGAGAGAGAGAGAGAGAGAGAGTGTATGTGTGTGTGTGTGTGTGTGTGTGTGTGTGCGCCAGCCCCAGAGCTTGAATTCAGGGCCTGGGCACTGTACCTGACCTTCTTCAAGGCTAGCACTACTTGAGCCACAGTTCCACTTCTGGGATTTTGGGGATTAATTAGAGATAAAGGTATAAAACATTATGTTGAAAACGAACTTCATAACTTCGTGGGGGTGTGGGGTAGTTGTGGAGGTGGGAGGGAAGGGATGGTAGGGGGAAAACAAAGGAGAAGGCAACAATGCTCAATAGGAAATGTACGCATTACCTTGCTCAAGTAATAGCATTTTTATAATAAAAATGTACCAAAAAAGAATTAATATGATATCTGATTTGTGGGTTTAGAATGAATTTTTATTTTTGCCCTGAAGTTAAAATAATGATGTACAAAAAATATGCACATTTGGAAAGGGTATCTATGTGTAAAAAAATACAATGCATAAGCCTGTAAGCTTTGCCTCTAATCTTTAGGTTTAGAAGACAATTTTGGAAATATAGTTAATAGGCATTCAAACATTCTACTCTACCAAAAATCCAGTTCATAAAATTATCTATCATGTAGTCTTTGGCATATATTGTGTAAATAAAATCTAGTTTGTTGCTGACTTCCCTACTTCACATTCTGAGAAAGAGTATGTACCTTCTCCACTTACTTTAAAGAGGAAACCCTGTCACACAGCTGTTTTTATTGTTATTTCCTTAGACTCTCAGGTTGATCATTTTCATTCCATCAACAACTACTTAATGTCTGGCTTGAACTGAATGTTATATATTTTTATTCACTTAGATATTGAACAGCAAATATATTGTAAGTTAAGCAGACAGGACTAGGAATAAGTTCCCAAACTTATCCTCCTGAACTCTCTGAGTACCATTGAAAAAGAAAAGACCACCACGCAAATGCTTTTAGCAACTAGGAATTGTTGGTGGGCATAGAATTTACAAGGGCCGGGCGCTGGTGGCTCACGCCTGTAATCCTAGCTACTCAGGAGGCTGAGATCTGAGGATCGTGGTTCAAAGCCAGCCCGGGGAAGGAAAGACCGTGAGACTCCTATCTCCAATAAACCACCAGAAAACCGGAAGTGGCACTGTGGCTCAAGTGGTAGAGCGCTCGCCTTGAGCTGAAGAGCTGAGGGACAGCGCCCAGGCCCAGAGTTCAAGCCCCACGACCGACAAAAAAAAAAAAAAAAAGAATTTACAAGAGAACTTCATTAATAATTGGAAGAGCAATTAGGAAACAGAGACTTAGCGAAGAGTGACCTGAACACATGTTCATTTTTGTCTTAACTTCAGTAAGAAACCTGGTTTCTAGGTGGGAAAATTCAGTAGAAAGGCCAATTACTGTTATTGTGGAGAACTGAGGTATCATCAGGTAGCAGACATCTGCAAAACATGTGCAGATGGATTTGAAAGGAAGCACATCTCATGTAAGTAGAGAAAGGTTTGTATGCTTAACGTAAATAGCATATTACACAGTATTCTAACCCAGTGCTTCTACTGCAGGATGCACAAGAGATGCACATGCAAAGTGTGCAATATGGCGATGTTCAGGCTCAATGCTGGACTTGGTAAAATCAGTTACAGAGTAGTGGTACCTCAGTCAGTGCTTACCTCCACACCTGCTTTCTATCTCAAGGAGTTTCAGGGCCAAACATACTACTAGATTCACTATCATATTATCCTTAATGTTACAAAGGAGATGCCATATAAAAAAGTAGTTTATGAATACAGTATATCTTGTCACAACCCTATATTTACTTTGAAAACTGAAGTACATTTTGCTGAACATCCATGTTACAAAATGTGATGCAAAAATGTGGATTTAATGTTCTGTTGCTAGTGGTGATTTTTATTAGTATTTATAATAGACATTATTATAAATAGAACTTAACATTCTTGCTGATGTTAATTAGATAGAACAGGTTGATATTAACTAAATAGAGAAATTTATTTGAAAAACCCAGCATTTTAAATGCTGCATAGAGCTTTCCAAAGAAATTATTCATGCTCAACAAATTTAATGAAGATAATTGATCTATAAACTGTACACCTCCTTAGAGCCAGTAAGTTATTCCTAATAATTTTAAGATAATGTCTGATTTTAAAACCATGTTTAATATTAAGAACATATTTAATCAAGATTTGTAATTTAAATTTTTTCTCTTATAGTTTTTCTTTGTGTATAACCAAGGTCAATTCCTGGTTGTAAAATTTACCCAGTAAATTACTTTATAATAAAAATATTTTAGGGAAGAATGTGAAAATAAGATCATGATCAATGATATAAAATTTATCATAAATGTTACTAAAAAGAATAAACAAATGTCTGCATGCGTTACAGGCTAAGCTCTTTGCTGAATTTATGTAACAAAAGATGAAAACACCCAATAAGAGCATATTCTACCCTGACATATTAAAAATAAGTGCTTATTTCAGTTGAAAAATTAAATAATATGAATCCACAAAGTTAAAAAAAGTTCATCTGAGCTGACTAGATATTATTAAAGTCAAAATGTGAATTGTAGTTTGAAAACTTTCCACAGGCATAAGAAAACATTTCAATAGGTGATTTTCATTAAAGGAATCTAGTCTGGATAGGATATTACAAAATACTTGTTCATACTAATCATACAATAACATTGCTATAACTTAATAAAGAATGCTCTGCGGCTGGGTTCCATACACATTTATAACTAGTATTCAGTCCGCATCAGTTTAAAAATGAAATCTCTTTAGTTTTTGTTTAATGAAGAGAAACAAATAGGAATATAAAAACATCCCAGATAAATTCTGAGTATTTTTCTAGAGTATTTATCACTGAATATTTTTAAATCACAAAATGAATTACCCTAAGAAAGTCTCTTGACACATCCTGTCGGCCCTTCTTATTTCCCTTCTCCTATTGATTTGTTATCAAATCCACACCAGAAAGGTAGAAATTTGACAGCATCATATTACAGACTTTGAGATTAATATCCTTTAATATAACAGATGTTATTAAGTTTGCCTTGTTCAAAGATATTCTGACTACATGTTAAACACAAAGGTTGGAGAAGATTCTAATTTATCTCTTCATCTACAGAAAAAAACACACTGTCAGTATAGAAACCATAAAATCACACATAAAGTTGTATGGTGGTAAATATTTGACAGCAGGCTTGCAAAAAATAAAAAAAGTCCTAATTTGCAATGTTTGCCAATTTCTGTAGCATAAATACTCCCCCGTGGCTGATTTTGAGGCATCAAGGTGACATAAATGAATCTACAATTGGAAAACAGGCAGAAGAGCTGGAAGGTAGGACTTCCACCATATAAATCCAACAGGTGTAAACTACTTTCTAAGTGCAGATAATACTAAAATAAAGTAGAAATGAGTTTGATTGCTGAATCCCCCTTTAAAATCATGCCATGTTCAATTATATGTATGTCTACTTTGATGTATTTTATTAACTGCCAGCTCACACAATTACTCAAATTCTAATAGTGGTTGAGAATCACATTGCACACTTTATAGACCATCCCAGCAATATGAATAGGTGTGGAATGTATTCCTTTTTGTTTATAACAAGCACAAGGAATGGGAACACAGAATAGAAATCTCCAACATCTCTGGCCATCATTTTCCTGAAGCTCTCTTCCTTCTTCTAGGTTCAGTTCTGCACCCGAGTAGCAGCTGATAGAATTATTACCACCAGAGTATTAGAAACACAAATATTGGCAAGTATTATTTGCAGGTAGCCAGAATATTATTACTCCAAAGTAATAAGGGTTTTTTTTTTGTTCTTGTGCTATTAAAATCTTGTATCAATAAGGAAAAATGTATTGAAACTTAGTGGCTGGATATAATAAGTTCCTAAATACAAACTCACAAATCTCAGGCTAGTTTTCTACTTTCCCACTTAACAAAGGACAATTTCTGGCCCTCATATTATTCACACACACACACACACACACAAGTAATATCATGTGTACATCTTCTAGAATGATCACAATATAACAACTATGAAAAGATTATACATTCTTTTTTTGGGGGGAGGAGTCCGGTCGTGGGGCCTGAACTCTGGGCCTGGGCGCTGTCCCTCAGCTCTTCAGCTCAAGGCTAGCACTCTATCACTTGAGCCACAGTGCCACTTCCGGTTTTTTTCTTTTTGCTTATGTGATGCTGAGGAATCGAACCCAGGGTCTCCTGCATGCAAGGCAAGCGCTCTACCACTGAGCCACCTTCCCAGCCCAGATTATACATTCTTGAATGTTAAACACTACTGGAATTAACAGATCCAAACATCCTATGATGAGTTTTCATGATATGCTCACCATCTGACAGATTATGTGTAAATTTACAGGGCTAAATTCGCCAAAACTTCAGACTTTCACTGGATCGATTATTATTAGAGCAGAATTCACTAAAAAACAAACCCTACTTTGTAGTGTCATTTAAAAAGAAAAAGAAGCCCCAATATCATGAAAGGAAGCAGGTTATATCCCCTGTCCATAGCTTGAAGCTCATTTCTCTTCACCTGACAAATAGGGAAGGCTTGGATCCCATGTGTTCTTCCACTGAGCCTTAACATCCTAGAGCTGAATTTTTGAGGGACTATTTATAAACCAGAACTCTGAACCATTCATTTGATCTATCAGAAAGCCCAGGAGGAGTCTGACCTCGGCCCAATGTCATGCCGTTAATTACAGCCAGACCCAGGGTCTGACCAGACATGTGCCCCTCACTGTTTCCCAGCACTGAAAGACATTAACCTCTCAGTAAACCATTACCTCTTGAAGAACTCTCTTCATCTTTAGTAATAAGGTCTTCACTGCGGTGCAGTCCTGTAGCATCAGCCTGAATGGTAGAGAATCTATGCCTCCGTTCTCCTCCACACTTGGTAGAGGCCGGTCCACAGAAGGACTGCTGGGTATCCGCCCAATGTGAGAACACCTCAATTCCTGGTCAACATCCTTTGTTAATTTCAGGGAAAGGCTCCTAACAAGGAAAACAGAAACAGAAATTACAATGCAGTGTAATTTGAGGAGGAATACCAACCCTCAATTTGATCAGAGTCATTAAGTATATTCGATAAAAATTCCTCATGGGACCCATGCCTTCTGCAGAAATGATCAAGTTATACATTAAGTGGTTGAGATTCAAAGACAATTATTATCTTAGAAGATGATCTTTCCACAATCAGGATTTCAGAGATGTATGGTATTTATTTAACACACATGGAAACATGGAAATAAACAAGAAAGTCATTGGAATACCAATTTTATACCAAAAGTTTCTCATGATATGCTTAAAATGAACTCTAATGAAAAGTTCAAGAAGCAAAACTGATAAGAAAACTAGCACTCATTAATTTAAATCACTATGGAAATTATTAAACATTTTAGTGACTTTTAGCTCGGAACCATCCATAAGGCCTTATGTAAGAAAGAAAGAAGTGTGAGATGTATGAACTCCATGATTTATAAAGGGAAAAAATAAACCACTAGTCCCAAGATACCACTTTAGTAGAAGGATCATTTTGAGCAAAGAAAACCATCAAGAAGCTGGTACAAAAAAAATCTCCCTGCCCTCCTCCTATGCTCTTAAAAATAAAATTTGCATTTGAAAAGATGCCCCTTTGCCAGAAAGGACATTCGTTAATTCTGAGACAATGTCTACCCCTCCTTAGCACAGAGAAGCATGAAACAACCAACTGTATTAGCTAGCTTTTGCAGTTCATTATGTTTATCTTCCCTCTATATTCTGCCCAAGAAACTCCAAGTCCTTCTCTTTGCTTTATCAATTCTCTAAAATTTATTAGAGTTTTGTTGTTGTTTGTTAAGACATTGTGTATGTCCCAATGCTCTTTTCCTCATGAACTATTCATCTCTCACATTCCTGTGTATACACAAGGTACACATGTCAATAAACTTATTTATGTTTCCCTTCTTGATCTGTCTTTTGATGATCTAATTTGCAGGACCCCAGTAGAGAGAAGAAAATCAAGAAACAAAGTGCTCACCCGTGAAAAGCTGCTTCTAGACTGACAAAAGATAGCTTAACAAGAGTAGATGAATTACAGCATACAGACAAGTCCAACATAACATATAAAGACCTTAAGAAATCTTCTGCAGAATATAAATACCACATACAGACACACATAGATATAGAGATAGACAGACAGACAGACAGACAGATAGATAGATAGATAGATAGATAGATAGATAGATAGATAGATAGAGATAGATAGATAGATAGATAGATAGATAGATAGATAGATAGATAGATAGATAGATAGATAGATAGATATGAGCTATGGCTGTATCTATGTGTATTATGTGATGAGCAGGTCCACTTCTCAGCAGTTATTGTTAAACTCTGCAAAGTGATTTAGCTGTGCAACAGCTTCCTCCTATGTAAAGACACGCATTCCATCTACACCTGACTATCACATACAGAACAGTCAGCACAATATCTGGCCAATAGTCTGCCCTTAAAAAACTGCTAGCTGTGATTATTTAGTATTTAATTAAAATATAAAATAGGGTCTATAATATATGTCTTATTACTTCAGAGGCTAATCATAATAAATAAATACACATGTGAACATAAGAAATACTGGAGATCAAAATATGTGTTTTCCAGGCTGGGAAGGTGGCTCAGTGGTAGAGCGCTTGCCTTGCATGCATGAGGCCCTGGGTTCTATTCCTCAGCACCACATAAGCAAAAAGAAAAAAGCCGGAAGTAGTGCTGTGGCTCAAGTGGTAGAGTGCTAGCCTTGAGCTTAAGAGCTGAGGGATAGCGCTCAGGCCCAGAGTTCAGGCCCCACAACCCGACCAAAAAAAAAAAAAAAGTGTTTTCCTTGTTCATTATCCAAAAAATTAAGAATTTAAACCACTTCTATCACAAATTATTAGAGTTGCATAGAATTGAGGATATGTGATCTTATTTGTATACTTGCATGATTTAATAGTGTCAAAAATCTCTAAATTTTATCTCAATATAAGTTGCAAAGGGATCTTTTCCTATAATTCAGCAAAACTGAACACATACGAAGATGTACACTAAGGATATCTCCCATTTTTTTTTAATAATTAAGATGAGCCATATACAGAACGGCATTTAGGAGAGGAAATTAGCCAGCAGTATTTTTTTCATGATTATTGAAGAGGTTCATTGTATCCAAGAGCACATCTGTTAGGAGTTTAACAGGATACCATTGCTGATCCCAAGAAGCTCATCACATTTATTTCTTAGGAGTGATCATTAAAAGCAATAATTGATATTCTATTACATGGGCAATAATGACCATGGAACATTTTACTCCACAATTTTAAAAAGCAGATGTACTATCACACCATAGTAAATAAAGGCATTCTTCAATTAGGTTCAAACAATTTGCAAAATTTGCCATTACAACCATCCTGTTGTACTTCCATAACCTTTGTCATTGGCCCATGGTTTGTAATTAACCATCTTTAATAACATATCAGTAATGTATTAATGTCTTTAATAATAGAATATTAGAATAATATAGACTAATAGGACATTATCAGGATCCAAATACTCAAGGATCTTTAGGTAACTACAATCTTAAAAACAAAATCCTTGGGTTGTTAAGATAAGAAAAATCTCAAACACAAAATCACCATTTTTTTCCAACACAGACAACCCGTAGTAAGCGTGATGAGAGTAAAGCAAATTCAGGTGCTCTTTTGTCTCACATTAGCAGGGCTCTCTGTGTGATAAATGCATACACTTTGGGTTGCTTGCCTCATTGTCATCCAAACCCCTGAAGTTATTAGAGTTTCAGGACGCAGAACAAATGTGCTTTATTTATAAAGAAAAGATAGTACCTTAACTTGTCAAAAAGTATGATAGTGAAGCTGGGCCAAGTGGTTCATTCATCACCATAACTATTTCAAACAAAACCCAGAGACGATGTAATCTCTCCATTGAGCACATTTATACGCCACTTTCCCACTCTAGGCCAACCCCATGAATCTTTGGTAGAATGGCTCCAAGGTACTTATAACTTCCTTATGAAGCTTATGAAAGCTGACCAAGTCTTTATCATTTAAATGTGAGGGTATTTAGATAAAGCTGAATTGACACTGAGGGACCTTTCTCAGTCTACAAGAAACCAAATAAAAAGGGATGTGTAAGAATAACACCAAATCTAATCAATATTATATTCAATTTCTTCGGGAAAGATGAAAGGATGTGAGAGTTTCAGCTGAAACATACAAATTTTAACTTTGAGCTATTTTGACAAATTGACCTTGTAGGTGTCACTGAGATCTTTACTATAATAGGATTCTCCTATACTAGTACAGTATATTACATACACTACATAGTATAGTCTCCTCTAGTTGTACAGTATAGTATAAAATATACATATATATTCTCCTATAGTGCTATAGCAATCCTATTTTAATATGACAGGTAAATCTAATGGGTACTATATCTCAACGCAAACTATAAAGTGATTAAAGACTTTACCACAAGAAAAATGTGCTCATCTTTTGGTTTTGGCTAGTTAAAACTAGTAATGTTGATTTAAAAAAAATTGTTTTCCACTCAAAAGAACTCTCATAATGATTTGAAGCCTGATAACTTCAGGGGCCAGATTGCCTAAGAGAATATGGATTGTGTTGTGACATTGGCACCCCATTGTTCCCTGTCAGGTGAACCATCCCCAATCTAGTGCATTGGGGACTAGCATTCCATGGCTGAAGTCATGCCAATGACCTTCACTTCATAGTGTCATTGTCATTTGCTAAGCAAATGACCAGGGAACAGAAATAGAAGAATAACTTCTTCTCCAACACAACAAAAATATGTACGCCTGCGACTGTCTTCCAAATCTTCAATGAGTAGATTGTCAGGGAATGATAACTTTTTTTTAAGGACTCTAATTTTGAAAACTATTTACTATTTTTTAAACTTCATTTCAAAAAAATATTACTTATGATCTATTTAATCAAAGCTTGTATAATTCTAAGACAGGTACAAGGATGTAAGTAAATCTATGCTAGTATACCAAACCAAAACCAAACAAAAATGATCTTGTTCAAGAAATTACCTACACAAGAAAAAAATCTCACTGATAACAAATAACCCATATTTAGTTTAAAAACGAATTGCTGATCTGAAAGTGTTCCTTTAGGAAATTACTGATCAGTCAAATTATTTCCTAAATGGATATTTGGTCATATTTCTGAAAGGGGAACTAGAATGTTCTTCTGTTAGTCTCCACAGTGTTACAGAAACTTAACAATTTACATTTAGATTAAAAATTACACATATATGTTATTTTACCAGCACCTGTGATAATGGGAAAGGGAAAGCAGAATCCAAATACCTTAGCCTTGCAAGCAAGGTCTGAGATGATCTAAAATCTGTCTTCCTCGTGACCACCCATAATACCCATCTCCCTGCTCTGACTTCCAAACACAAGGCTATTTTAGCCCTGAACTATGCAAGGGCCTCAGAGCCTTATCCTTTATTCCTTTTTGTGCATGAAAAAAACATCCCATTCCTTCCTTCCTCTATGTTTCCCTTTAAACTATATCACATCTCCAAGGAAACCTTTGCATCTAATATACTAGTCATCCGGTCCTTCTTTTCTTATGATAAGGCTTCTTTATAGCTTCTGTCAAATGTGCAGTTAAAACATTAATTTAAGGAGGTCTTGCAGTATACATTGGACAAACACAAAGAAACACTACATAAGTTACCATCACATTTATATTTAAGAATATTGCATTACATGAAGGAAAGATTCAGAAGTGTTGAAAATGTAAATAAAATATTTCTGACAATTATCAGAATTATGGTGGTTCAAGGGTGTTCAATTTAAATGAGCTTTCAGTGCAGTATAAAACATTTAAAAGTTACTATAAAACCTTAAAAAGCCAGGTGCCAGTTAATCATGTCTACAATTCTAGCTACTCAGGAGGCTGAGATCTGAGGGTCTCAGTTCAAAGCCAGCCTGT